GCAGATTGCTCAGCTCCGTACATCCTCCCCCCGGCTGTGCAGTTTGGCACGGGCGCTCTGTTATTGCTCCAGGATCAGAGTTTGAAGTTTTATTTTATTAATATTCTTGTCTGCAGGATTTGAGGGGGAGGAGCGGGAGCGACACTGGCTTATCCAGCCCAGTGACATTGCACTTGGCTTCTTTCTGTCATTTAAAACCCCGTTTGCCACGTTGAGTCATGACCTCCATATCCCGAGGGCTGGTCTTTGTGTACCACATGGAAGTGTGTGACTACAGGTGAAGGGATATGGTTAGCGTCGTTATAAATGTCCAGCCACAACATTAGTTAGATTTAAGAATTCCCTGTTTGCTGTAATGTCTCTAATCCAAAATAAACTTGACTTCAAGGCCAAGGTCTGGTATAGTAAGATTTAACCTTGGTCCCTATTGAGGCTCTTTCCCCGACCACCCCTTATGCTGCATTGTGAAAGCTCTCAGGCTCACACTGGCCAGCACCAGGCAGGTTGTGCTGGTCTCCAGCCTGCAATGGTCATCTGATACGCTCCTTGTTTATGCTACTTGTTTAAGCCCCTGAGGTCCACCCTAGGCAGTTTCGCTACTTTTTACACTCAGCTTGGGTACTAGGTCAATGCTAAGGCTTAGGGTCCTGGGTCCTGGGTCTGTTCTCCCTACTCAGCTGTTTCTCTTGGAGGTTTTCTGGACTTGCCAACTATAGAATCCCTTAGCTGCTGACCTCTCCAGGTTAGCACTGTCTCTCTCCTTGATAGGCTGCATCTTGTCTCCTCCAAGATAGATAAGTTGGGATCCTAACTCCTAGTGCCTCAGAATGTGACCTTATTTAGAAACAAGGTCATTACAGATATAATTAGTTAAATTAAAAGGAGGACATGCTCGAGTAGGGTGGGCCTCCCAATCCTGGTGTCGTTAAGAGAATAGACTCAGAGACACATGAGGAGAAAGGCCATGTGACAGCAAGGCAGAGATTGGAGTTACCCATCCACAAGGCAAGGGATGCCAAAGATTACCATGGCCAGCAAAGCACCGGAGGCTAGAGAGGGGCAAGAAGGGATCCCTAGAGCTCCCAGGGGCTCAAAGGAAGTGTTTAGCCTCGGAACCAACAGGACAGTAAATCTCTGTTTGCTGAGGCTGCCCAACCTGTGGGTCTCTGTGACAGCTGCCCTTGGAAATGGATGCTTCCTCCATCTCGGTTCACTGAGAGGTTCTGGTGCCCCCCATCCCCAGCCACCCTGTACCCTCTAAGAGGGCCCAGCATAGCCTGACCTCAGTGAGTGGGTGAGCAACTCAGGATACTGGCTGCCCTTTTCAGTGGGTGGCTGTTGCAAAGGTGTTTGGAGCCTAGCTGCATTCCCTCTGGTGGCCACAGTGTTGATCTCCATCACTGCTTAGTTCTCAGCCAGGCTACATCATCCTTGGGTAACCAGGCCATTGGAGTTTGGGGCTGACAGCTGAATGCAGGAATTTTCCTCCCTGTTTACCCCGCCATTGTAGAGACCATGCTCAGACCCCAGTGTGACCCAGGATACTTCTCAGAATGCTGAGAGCAGGACTGTCAAAGATTCCCGAGACACAAACTCTTATGTATTTTTATGGCTCATGGCAGCCATAAACAGGTCATGAGCTATGGGGTAAAGAAACCAGTGGTTGGCTCTCTCCTCTGCGTGTGCAAAGAATCGTGTTGAGGGATTGTTTCCTCCTAGCCTCTGGCTGTGTGGGTACTGGGTGTGCAGCTCTGCTTTATGGTCTTTCTCAGCTTTGTGTTCTCTCTGGAGGGTCTAAGTCTTGCATTATCCCTGGAGGATCTCTCAGCTCTTCTCCGTGTTAGGGCTTCTTGTCCACCTGGTCTTTAGCACCTGTATCAAAGGCCTTGCTTCTCATCCAGGTCTTGGATGTGGGAGGCTTTCCAACCGGCTTTAGCATGTGGGCCCTTAGCCCTGTGTGTGTGTCTGTTCCTGCTGCATTTAAACCGGGTTGCACACAGGCCGAGGAGATGAGGTCTTGGGCTCTGGAGTGTCTCCAGAATAGCAGGGACCAATATGAGTTGTAGATAATGGCCAAAGCCACGAATGAGAGAAGCCAGACAGAGCCTCAGCTGTGAGACATTCAGTCTTAGACCATTAGTCTTCAAGCACATGCTTGTTGAGCAGTTACCCTGCACCAGGCACCACACACTGAGGAAACAGTGAGGGTAAACCGGATTGGAATCCTCACCCTCTTATATTTACATGCAGACTGCAGTGAGGGAATAAGCAGGAAAACAAAGCAGGAGGTCAAATGCTGGAAGGAACAGAAACATATTGGGAAGTGGAGTGTGCTGGACCAGGGAAAGCCACTCCAGACAGAAGCTGCACAGGCCACCTGGTGCTGGTGGCATGTCCTTCATGCAAGGCTAGCATCAAGCCACTGGTGTGGAGAGAGGGCCCCTTTTAAGACAGGATGGTGAATGTATCAGATCTCATTGGAAGTATCCTGATCAGTCTTCTGGATGTTTCCAGTGATGGAGGCAGAATTAATTAATCTTTAGTTAAAGAGCACCTTCCCGGGTGATCTGAAGAAAAAGGAGTCATACAAGTGGGAAGGGAAGGGATGGAAAGAAAGTGGCTGATATTAACATCCTCATGTGTGCCTGGGAACCACTGACATGGAGGCCTGTCTTTTCAATTGGTACCCGATGAGAGAGAGTCACGGTGTGGTTTCCTGGGGCCTATTACGTGGGTCTCTGTGTTTGAATGTCTGTGACAACCCAGGAGCTGACCATGGTGGGAATAGGATGCATCAGTCACAGAGCAGAGGGCACAATGATTGGGAGGCAGGAGTCCCAAGCAGGCTCCCCTGACCCTCAGTTCACAAACTTCCCACCAGCCTAACAGGCCTGACCGTGCTCCAGATAAGGAGCTCCTGGCTGTGCGTGTCTGGCCCAGATTCCCTAGACAGTAGTCTCAGCAGCAAGTGCGGCAGCTGTTACGGTGTGTTACCTACTTGTGCTAACCTAGCAGCATGGCACCCTTCCTGAGACGGTTCACAAAGAGCGGGACTTAAAGCTCAACTCTGGGCGAAAGGATGCTCTACATGCTGCAAGTCGGAAAGTGTTTCCTCCCTTGGCGGCCTTCATGCATTGTTCTTCCCCGTGGATGCTTTCTCATGAGATAGTCTCCTTCTCATTGATGCACAGACGGGCTGTGTTGGTGGGAGAGGTGTGTGTTGTAAGCTGGGATTTGGAACAGATGAACGTCAGGTGGTAAAGCACATGTGCTTCTGGTTTGTTCCTGCACTTGGTATTGGATGGCTCTACTCATTCATCCCCAGGACTTCACTGTGTGTTCTGAAATCAGAACACATTTTAAAATTTGTTTTTTATTTATTTGAAAGGCAGAGTTACACAGTGAGAGAGATGGGGAAAGACAGAGATCTTGCTTCCACAGGTTCATTCCCCAAATGGCCACAATAGCGGGGCTGGGCCATGCCAAAGCCAGGAGCTTCCTCCAGATCTCCCACATGGGTGCAGCACTTGAGCCATCCTCTGCTACTTCTCCAGACACATTAGGAGGGAGCTGGATTGAAAGTGGAGCAGCCAGGACTTAAACTGGTACCCAAATGGGATAGATGCTGCATTCTTAACAGGCTCCTGGATGCTGCTGCTGCTGCTGCTGCTGGTGGTCCATGGCCCACTCTGAGTAGCAAGGACTCAGAAGAACCCCCAACATCGAGTAGGCGAATATCATCTGTTGGCTGTGTTTTTCTAACTGAGTCTGAAGCCATGTTGCATAGAACCTGAGGCAGTGAGCTTGAGCTTCAAAGTTGAGATCTCACAATGCCCCTGACGTTGCCAATCCCAGAGTCACACCAGACCCCCGAGAATGAGGCTGATGGTCAATCTTCAGGGAAGTGGTTAGAGTGCATTTGCTGCTCCTGATCCCAACTCTCTGTGCTCATGCTGCTGCCATAGGAGGAGGAGGCCCCAGGATTACCTGGCTTCTGCTTTAACTTATTTTCTGCTCCCTTCCTTCATTTTTGGCAGGTGTGAGGGCAAGAGAGACAGTAGCCCAGGCAACTGAGAGAAGCACCACAGGTGCCCAGGTGGCTGGGAGAAGCTTGGAACGGACCAAGATTGGCCTGCCCTATGTATCATCTATGGTCATGGGAACCTCAGCTGTGCTCTTAGAACAGGCCCATCATGTGACTCAGGTTGCCATGGTAGCTAGCAGCCTTGGGGAAGGTGAATGAGCTGGGATTTCTGTGTCCAAGACAGCTGGGATGCCACATTCAGGCATCAGATCTCACCCATCACACAGCCTTGTTGTACAAACACAACCAGCACATCAGTCTGTAAAGTTGAAAGAATCACCCCCTTTTCTCACCCTCCCAGCCGCCTCTGGAAGAGTAACCTTGAGTTTCTTTCTAGTGCTCCCTCTAGGCACACCAACCTGTCAATAACAACCAGGCCATGCTATACACATCTTCCCACTAGTTCAACTTGTGTTTTTCACTTCAAAATAAGTCCTGGATGTTTTGTCTTATTAGTGTGTGCACCTGCCCCACTCTTTAACAGCTGCACACAGCGATGTGCATATACTGCAGTACAATTAAACCATGCGGTACTGAGAGCCATTGAGTTTATCCCTGCATTTTTATAAAAAAAGATTTATTTATTTGAGAGGTAGAGTTACGGACAGTGAGAGGGAGAGACAGAGAGAAAGGTCTTCCTTCCGATGGTTCACTCTTCAAATGGCTCCAATGGCTGGAGCTGCGCCAATCCGAAGCCAGGAGCCAGGAGCTTCTTCCCAGTCTCCCATGCAGGTGCAGGGGCCCACAGACTTGGGCCATCTTCCACTGCTTTCCCAGGCCATGGCAGAGAGCTGGATTGGAAGTGGAGCAGCCGGGACTAGAACCGATGCCCATATGGGATGCCAGCGCTGCAGGTGGAGGATTAGCCTACTGCGCCACGGTGCTGCCCCTTATCCCTGCATTTTTATCTCTGCAGGTTGCGGTGGATGCTGTCTAGGACAGAGGCCACACGGAAGAGTCGTTGGAGCAGAACATAAGCACGTGTGTGTTTTTGATGGGTGGTGCCTTCCACAGGGATTGTGTCCTCCACGATTTCACTTCACCAGGGAGCTGGGCGAGTCCCTGCCACAGGCTACAGGAGGTCACCAGGCGTTCTCACTTTGCTCAGTCTGCGGGGGAAAGGTAGCACCCATGCTTGCCTCAGCTGTGTTTCTCAATCCCTGGAATGACTGTGCATCTCTTCCGATGTGTCCTTGTCATCTGCTTCTCTCTAAATCAGGATGTGAGGAGCCAGGGACCGCTCACCATGGAGGAAGCCCCGCCGAGCACTTCCTGCAGGATGAGGCAGTCTATCCTGCCTCTTCAAACCCTGCTGCAGAAGCAGCCCCAGCAGCCCCCAGGGGGCCTGCAACTCGCGTTAGAGGGAAGGAGAAAGCTTCTGTGTGACACCAGACACTGTCTGTTCTGGTGACTGTTAATCGTCACTCTTTTTTTTTTTTTTTTTTAAGAATTATTTTGAAAGGTGGAGTTACAGAGAGAGGGAGAGACAGAGATAGCTTCCATCTGCTGGTTCACTCCCCAAATGGCTGCAACGGTCCGGTCTGGGCCATCCTCCTCTGCTTTCCCAGGCATATTAGCAGGGAGCTGGATCAGAAGTGGAGCAGCCAGGACTTGAACCAGAGCCCACATGCCGGCACTACTGGTGGCGGCTTTACCTACTAGGCCACAGTGTTGGTCCCTAATCGTCACTCTTGATGGAGCCACTCTGCCAGCGCCTTGTGTCTAAGCCAGAGACCCATCCAAGCATCCACAGGGCCCTTCATCGCTGCCGTGTAGCCTGAGGGGAGACCCAGGGGCCTGGGCCAGCAGACCCCAGGTCAAACCTTTGCTCTCCCTGCAGAGGGCACACACGAGCTGCCCCGTGCTCTCTTCCATCTCATCCTCTTCAAAGTCCTGCAGCTTCTGAGTCGCCTCACTCACACCCTCCTCCTGCCACTGCAGCCTGAGCATCAGTGGCGGCTTTGCCAGCTCCTCTCTCAGCTCTGTGCCCATTTTAGCTTCTTGAATTTCCAGGGACCTTGTCTGGGTGCCCCTGATTCTCCATCTACACACCCCAGAGGCCTCCCAAGGTCATCCACTGGGGCTGCCTTGGTGTAGCCTCATCCAGCTGGCTGGCTGACAGGGCCTCTCCTGGGTCCTGTGCAGCTATTCCCCGGCTTTGGTGTCAATTCCACTTGGGGCTCTTGCCCAGGAAATCCACAACCTTCTTATCTGAGCATGTTTTCTCCCGCTGTGTGCCCCCTTAGTGAGTGGTGTTGATTCATCACCCATGCGGACACCTCAAGAGCCAACCCCTGAGTCCTCCCTCCCATGGCCTTGAGTCCAATCCACACACCTCAGATTTTGCCCTAACTTCGCTCCTTGGGTTTCCTCCCCTTATATGTAGTCCATATTCAAGGCAGGTTGAGCTACTTAAAAAAAAATTACAGAAAAGTAAAAAGTGAAAGCAAAAAGATTACAGAAAAGTCTACTCTGTGCTTGCTAACCAGCGCAGGTGAATGAATGAGGCCCAGAACAGAATATGCAAAAATGAACATAGCTGTGTGACCTGTGATTCCCCAGGCTACTCTCTGGCTGTCTCGCACCTGCACCTGTTATGGCAGGATTCTAACCCAGGAAATCGCTAGGGTTGCTTCACCTCCCAGAGCCTCAGAAAAGAATCCCTTGAAAGACAAGTTGCCCATCCCACTAAAATCTGCTGTGGCCTCTGACAGGCTGGGTGATGTCTACTCATGAGCCACTAGCCAGGCGTTGATGTCTGCCACCTGTGATGTAGCCATGCATCTCTGGGAGCCCTCTGGGGGTGTGGTTTCTGCAGAACCTGGATCAGTGCTTTTAATGAAATGGCCCCTTGCTTCTTAGGTACCCATGGAAGCCTGGGCTGGCCTCAAATCCAAAGCACAGATGCCACAACAGACTTGTCCTTCTGACGGCCTCGGCTTTGTTACAGATCCAGCCAGTTGGGCCTGCTATGCTCCGAAGGCTCTGTATTCCTCAGGCCAGTGGACTCCGGTAGCCTGTACCGCAGTCTCTGGCCCACGCGTGTCTGAATCCCAAGGACCAGCAAGGAGCAATCTGGAACAAACTTTGCCTTAATGGGAAGTAGGATTTTGAAGGACCCCGGATAGCAAATTTTCTTAAATACTTTGTTATTCCTTTTGAAAAACATCTTATCCACCTTCACATCCTGCCTCCCCAACTCCTAAGCCTCCCTTAGGCCTGTCTGCCCCTTGCATGATGGATATGGGATCTCATTCTACTTCTTGGACCTGCACTTTGACCTGTGACCTTGAATAGTCTGTTCTTCCGTAGATCAGTTGGGACTTACCTCTCGCCCTCAGTGTGTGCAGTCCTTAAAGAGACAGTCCTCTTGCTCTGGGTACCATTACTGTTTGGTGAGACTCCAGCCATGTGATTTGACTGCTGGAGTCCATGACATTTATCACACGTGCACTAATGGGCAAAGACTTTGTGGAAGATAAGGTCCTTCTGTGACTGTCCAGGACACCGGCATGCTTGCCCTGTCTCGCCACCATATCACTGGGACCCTCGCCAACTCTCCTAACTTCTTCATCTCCCAGTGTTCCTTCCATAAAACGGGGGAAACAGTCCCCACTCCAGGGATCTGGTGAGATTCTATGTTTAGGCGTGTGCAATCCCTATGAGGAAAATTCCATTTATTAGAGGGCTAGTTTCAGCGATCTGTGCATGTGAGATCAGGAAATACTGCTGTGGTTTTCCAGTAAAACATCCCAGTGGTCTCCTGTCTTGAGATATCTTTCACATGAAGAGCTTGTGTTCAGGAAGAACTCAGCAGGCCAGAGTGAGGATTGAAATCCAATTCCAGTCACCCCTGGCCTGTATCTCTCTGCTCTCAAGTGGTTTTCCTATTATCTTGGGGAACTTCTGGAAGCAATGACCAACTTAACAGCTACAGCTGATAAACCAGGGCCCTTACTCTGGGACATGACAGACTTTGGGAAGATTTGGGGCAAGCTCAGAGAATTGCTCAGAGCAGGGGAAGAGAGAGAGGGAAAGAGAGAGAGAGAGACAGACAGAAACTGTCTTTCAAGAGCTAGTGGTGAGTTGGGAGGGATCCAGGGGTTATAGTTGTTGCTGATTAGGAAAAGGAAAGGAGAAATGAGGGTGCAGGGGGAGGTGACCATGGGAAAGGAAGAAGGGGACCAGATGGAAGTATAGCTGGACGATGCTTTGCTCATCCAGGATGATGGGAATGAGGTTTACCATGAGTGGGTTTCTCAGAATAAAGAATGTCAGCCCTGTGGCAGGTTTTGAGAAAAGATAATCATTTAGGAGGGGAGTCTTTCTCATGGGCATTGCATCATCTCTGGTTCTGGGAAAGAAATTCGTGGAGCAGCACCTTGCTTTGGCCACCGCCACTGGACCCTGAGTCCCAGGCAGCTGCCCATCAGTGTCGTGGAACATGTCCCATGCTTCTCCTTCTCTGGGTGTGTGGTGCCCTTGTCTCCACACGTCTGTTTCCTAAACCTCTTCAGTTCCGAATTCCCCTACAAACACTCTGGCATCTAGTGCCCACAGGAGGTGTCAAACTAGTGTGTTTGAATGAATGATGTAGGGCCATAAACCCTCTGCCACTCATGGGGGGGTTCTGTCCCATTGGTTAGGCATTGTCACTGTAACATTCTCAGGGCCAGGCATGAAGGCAAAAGGCTGTTCTTTGTTTCACTCTCTCTACCAACATTTCATCAACTCCTGCGTTGTCCCAGATGTGATGCCAGCATCAGAGGTGTCAGGATGAATTAAAACTGCTTCTTTCCTCCAAGGAGCTCACAATCTGAAATTAATAAGAAAAAGGTAGACATGACTCCATACAGCAAGTGCTTGGCTAAGAGGTGCATGTCTCACGTGCTGGGGGCAAAGAGAAGGGGTGGTGGCTCCCCTGTACCCATGATTCATTGCTCTGCTCTTCTCACGGTTGCTGCTGCTGCTGCTTCTTTAAGAAGATTTATTTATTTATTTGAAAGTCAGAGTTAGAGATGCAGAGGCAGAGAGTGAAAGATCTTTCATTTGCTGGGCCACTCCCCAGATGGCAGCAACGGCCAGAGCTATGCCAATCTGAGCCAGGAGCTTCTTCTGGGTCTCCCATATGGGTGCAGGGGCCCAAGGCCTTAGACCATTCTGCTTTCCTAGGCCATAGCAGAGAGCTGGACCCAAAGTGGAGTAGCTGGGACTCGAACCGGCTCATCTGGATGCCGGCACTGCAGAGCAGGGCTTTAACCTGCTGCGCCACAGCGCTGGCCTCCATGGCTGCTTCTGATGTACATGATGCATCTACTGCTTGCCATTGCCCCCTCCTGCTTCTCATCTGCTGATTGCCGGGGAATCAGGTATTTGAACTGGTGATCTTCAGAGCAGCCAGTTTCCAGGCTAGCTTGCCACATGTGACAGGTACCCGAGAAAGTCATGCAATCCCCATCCTATGTCCCACCCTCAGGTATTCTGATTTCCTTATCCAGACTGGGTCCCAGACACCCCTGCTGATGGTAGCTTGCAGCCAAGGTGAGCTCTAAGTGAGGTGGTTCTACACCTGTGAACTCTGAGAAGGCTTGGGGACCTCACCTTGGAATTAAGTGCACAGACTTCTGATGGCTCTTTCCTAAGCACAAAATCTGTTTTGAAATCTCTTGCATGTGAAGACACAGGTTTCTGCCAGTCATAGCGGCCAGTGGAGTCAGCTGAGTGGCGGAGCTACCCAGCGCTAAGAAATGGCCCCATGCACACTCTAGGCTGTCCCAGTATCTCACAAATAGTCCCAAATGGTGGTTGCATTCATTCCTAGTCAAATGTTTAAAATCTTAGCTACTAACTATTGGTGCTAGCAAGGAGCCAGAGATTCCATCACAGTGGCTGAATCATCAAGACTCGGGATCCCACAAACTGAGACACTTTAAGACTTTGGGTGTGAAAACTGAATGTAAGCTGTTTATATACCCCACAAAGTTTAATGTAACCTGACATCCATAACATTTATGGGAAGGGCAAAGTTTAAAAAGTCGTGACGATCTTCCAACTTGTGAAGCATCCTCTAAAATCAGCTCAGGCTCTGGCTCTATCCAGCTGTCGGTGACTTCAGTTCACAAGGCAGACGCCTGGTGCTGTTTGACAGCCCAAGATGAGATGATTGCAGCCTGCGGGCAAGCATTTACCGAGCACCTGCTCCGGGCCTGGCCTGGAGACTCATGAACACAGATGGACACAGATACTGTCCTGAGGCACTCCCTGTCTAGCGTGCCATCAACATGTGAGAGTGAATCCTAACCCAGGGCGTGGATCCCAGCTGCCTCCTCCTGCCCATGGGCTTGCACTGAGCAGCACACTAGGCTGAGAGGAAAAAGAGGCACAAGTCCTTCAGAGCCTTGTTCCCTGAGTTGCCATGCAGGATAATGTGTGTGTCTCTGTCGCTTTCATTAGGGAATGGATCGTGAAAGGGTAAACAAAGCCGCTGAATGCAACAGGTGTGTACTGAGCACCAAGCCTGGGAGGGGATCCCTGGGGAAGGCAGAGATCAAATATCTTCACCGTGGGACTTCAGAGGTATCACAGCTCAGGTGACAGAGGGACGACAATGCTTGGGTTATTCTCATACAAAAGAACACCAGTAATAATAGCAGACACCCTTTGAAAAGGTTCCATTTATTTGAAAGGCAGAGAGACACAGAGAAAGACCTTCCATTGGCTGACTCACTCCTCCAAATGCCAGTAATAGTCATAGCTGGGCCAGGCTGAAGCCAGGAGCCTAGAACTCAATCCAGATATCCCATATGGGTGGCAGGGACCCATGCACTTGAGCTATCACAAGGAAGCCGTCTGTGAGTGAGCACTCAGGGTGTGCTGGGCACAGTGCTATGAGCTTGTCATGAACACACCACACAGCACACTGGTCTGTGACATCAGTGCACTTATGGTGGTTTTATCTCCAAGGAAACAGACGGTGGGAGGTGAGCTCATGTGCCCAGGAAGAACCTGCCTGAGTCCCATTCTAGGCCCCGACTTCTCCAGAGCCTGAGCCCTCAGCCTCAGTCCTGCCTCCTGGGAAGAGTCACAGAGGGGACTGCCTGTGGGTCTGAGGTGGGAGAGACGCTTTCTAGAAAGGCACCACCCCACGTTCATCTCAGGCAACTCTGAGATGAAGTCTGAGTGATCAGGAAGTGATCCCAGGAATCAGGGATGTGAAACAGAGGGGAGGAAACCAAGTCGGGATGCAGGATTGAGCAAGTCACTGCTGTGGACAACCAGGGTGTACTGGTGCGACAACAGGGAGCATGGCTCAGGGCCAGCCAGTGGCATGTGAAGAGGTTGGGGATGTTAGCATCATGCCCGCCTCCTGTCATTCGCTGAGTCTCCAGGAAGTCAAGGTGCCTGTCCCCCCATTTGGCAAAGCCGCCAGCCTGCCAAGAATCTGAGTTCTCACATACAGAGGGGTGTGCACTGCTCTAGTCCATGAGTAGCTGCAGGTGCGTGTGTCTCAGAGTCTGAGGCCCCTGCATGGTGGTGCCCAGAGTTGGTGCATTGTGCATGTGCCTGGAGACCCCCGCCATTCATTCCTTGTTAGGGTGAGGTCTGGGGCACAACAGCTGAGTTCCAGCCCAGTAGAGAGGCACTTCTTAGCTGTAAACAGGCATGAGGGCTTTTCTCATGACTTGAATGATGTTCGCAGTGTTGGTAAATGACACAGGTTTCCCTTTAGGCATGTTTCAAGCCACCCTGGGTTGCAGGGCACTAGGTCCGGATTGGAGTCTCAGCTTTGTCCCTTTGTAGCTCCATGACTTTGGAGAGTCTCCTAACCTCCCTGGAGCCTGGGTTTCTCATCTGTGAAAAGGAAATGTCATCAGGGCCGGTCTCCATGGCCTGCCTGCTGCCTCTGTCTTGCCCATCACAGATCTGGGATGCTTTCTGGGGAACCCAGGGCATGTGACTCACTGTGTAAGTTCCCCACTGCTCTTGGATAAGCTGCTGCCTGGAGGCCTCTGAGCTGGAGCCCAGCCTCCTGCTGCCATCTTTTCCCAGGCTGGATACCACATGCGGGTGGAGCACAGGCTTTGGCACTGGCTGCCTGGGGTGGAGTCCTGGCCCCACTGTATCACTTCGGGCAAACCATTTCACTGATTGGAGCCTCAGTTCTCTCATTTGTATGACAGAGATGAGAAAACTCAATTCTTCTTGGCTTTGTGAGAATGAAACCAGACAGTGCAGATGCAGTGCTGTGTGCTGGGGTGCTCTGTAAATGGGAGCCTCTTGTTATCATCGCGTTGCCCCACAGGGACCCTGTTTGGGGAGCCAGAAGGGACACCAGGCGCCTTGGGAGCCGCATGGAAGGAGCCCTGACGTCACGGAAGCAGATGCTTTCTGCTTGCCTCCAGCTGCAATTGTCCTGCTTTGTTCTCTTCCAAAATGAGATATATCAGGTTCAAAAGGGACATTGTCTCCTTCGAATGAATAGACTAATAGCCTCCCTTCCCAGATGTACTGTTGATGGTGTCTCCAGGAGGGGCCTGATGGAGCTACACCTAAATAAATAATTCGCCCTGGTATACCTGAGCCCCACCCTGGGCCGAGACAGAGGCCTGCTGTAACAGCACAGGGGACTGGCTTGGAGGTTAAGGGGCATGTTTAGGGGTACCACAGGCAGACCCCTCACTAGTTGTGGAGGGAAAGATTGAAACCTTGCCTCTAATATCTAAGGGTAGAACTAGGGCTGAAGGAGCTAGAGAAAGGAGGAGGAATACTATTTAAACTTGGGCTCAAGCTTGCAATTCACAGGTTTGCCCAAGCCAGCCTCAAGGGAGGCCAGGGGGTGCTGGGCAGCCCAGCCATGGGGCCGCAGGACTGCTGGTCACCAACAGGCTGCTGGACACGGTGTTTACCCTTTTCTTTTTATGCAGGGGGCACTCAGGAAGGCCAACCAGAGTGCCCATGGCTGAATTCTGGCGCTAGTACCACGGCTGAACAATAGTGGTTCCATTTCTTGGTGCGGTTTGGTCCATGAGGGGCTTCTCCTTTGTCTTCTCAGAGAAACCCAACAAGGGGTCTGTTTCCTCTATCCCTAATGCACATCCCAGCTGGCCTATGGTGGGGGCAGGCCTGTCTGGCAGCAGAGGGTCCCTGCTTGCAGCAACATTTGATGAGACCTGACACCTTCTCATTTTTCTTGCAGGAGGTCAGCAACCTACAGAGGATGCAGCACTGACTTAGGAAATAGATGTTTCCAAAAAAGTGGAGAAGATCGTCAGAGGCTTTTTAATCAGCACAACCGGACTTCATACTGACTGTTCTGTTTTCCTAACAGAACTTGACCTCCTCTTCCGTGGTCTATTTAAGCATTATCTGTAAGCTCCGAGGGCACAAGGTGTTAGGTTCCACCCCTTATCCGCAACAGTAACATTTTGATTTTAGAGACAGAGTAAAAGAAGAAGACTGAGACCGAAGTATTCAGCATTTCAAGGGGAGCCCCCAGCCCAGGCTTGGCCAGGTTTGTAGGAACTCAGCTTCCCAGAGGGATTGGAGTCTGAGCAAAGCCAACCATTAACTTCCAAATTGATTTTCAAACCAAAATTGGAACAGTTCTCAAATGCTCCCAGGATTTGGGGCTATTAATACCGAAGAACACTGAGAAGGAAAAAGTGAGTGTGTAAGGGGTGATTTATGGCAGAGAGGAAGTTGCAAGCCCAGGACCTTGTATGTAACCCAATCAGAGACCCCTCTGGAGCTGTTCCAGGGAGGAGATGGAGAATGTAAGGGGAGAGGGTTTCCAAGGGATATTAAACCTCATAAAAGGAGGCGATGTGGGCCTTGGGCCTGAAATGAGCCAGCGAGGAGTTGATCATGTTGAACTTCTCATAAGCACAGCAGGTTTTTGTGCAGCTGTCATCGGTGCCTGAGACACCCCCACGAGCCCTTCCTTTTATTTATTTCTTACCATTAGTTCATCACCAAGCAGGTTAAATGGCAGGAAGAGAGTCTTCCCACCAGCGTGTGGGACTGACCCCTGCTGCTGATACCGAGCGTCACATCTCAGGTGTCAGTTCTTGAGGCTCGGGCGTTGTGGCTCCAGCTGCTAACCGGTTAAGACCAGCCATGGCCAAGCTGGAGTGGACGTGCACAGGAGGGTGAGGCTGGCCAGTCAGATCCTGGCTGGGTGTTCTAAGGATGGATACCCAATCTCACCCTTTTCCCTTGTAGTTCTTGGAAAAGGTGTTCGTTATTAGTTACTGCTCTGCTCAGGTAGAATTGATACATAAATAAATTGTAATATTTAAGGTGCTAAATTTGATGTTTTTTGACATGGATATACCAAAGAAACTGTACTCATAATCAGGATGGTAAATATATCCATCACTTCCCCCACTGCGAAGTCTCTCAGGCCTTCTTAAGTCCTTCTCTCCCTCCCTCTGTCCCTGCCCCCTACTCCACCCCCAACAAAACAATGATCTGGTTTCTGTCGCTACAGATTATGTACATTTTCTAGAATTTTTAATAAATTGGATTGTACAGTGTGTATCTTTGTCTAGCTCCTTTCAGCATAATTATTTTGACATTCTTCCATGTTATTGCACATACCAATAGTTATTTCTTTTTGAGTAGGATTCCATTGTATGAATATACCACAATGTGTTCATTCATTCACCTGTTGATGGGCATTTGGGTTATTTCCAGTTTGGGGCTATTACAAATACAGCTGCACTGAACATTCATGTGTAAGTCTTTGTGTGGAAAGGTACTTTCAGTTCTCTTTGGGTAAATACTTAAGAGTAGAATGGCTATGCTGTACGGTAGATGTGTGTTTAAGTTTCTAAGAGACGGCCAAACTCTTGTCCCAGCTGACTCACCACCACCCTGTCTCCTCTGCAGACATGTGTGAGTTTCAGGTGCTCCAGGCGCTCTCTGACACTTCCTGTGGACACTTTAATTTCAGCATCTTCTTTGGTGAAATGTCTGCCTACATCTCTTCTCACTTTTTAAAAACTGGATTATTTGTTTCTTTGTTACTGAGTGGTAAGAGTTCCTTGTGTATTCCAGAGAGATATTCTGCAATTATTTTCTGAGTCTATGACTTGCCTTTTTATTGCCATTAGAACATCTTTTAATGAGAAAATATTTTAAATTTTGATGAAGTCCGATTTGTTGTTTTATTTTTAAATAGTGTGTGCTTTTTGTACCTTTTAGGAAATCCTTGCCATCCCCAAGGTCATTAAGGTTTTCTCTGGGGTTTTCTTATGCAAGTTTCAGAGTTTTAGTTCTTTCATTTGGGTCTATTATCTATTCAAATTAATTTTAAAAATTATTTATCTTATTTATTTTAAAGGCAAAGAGAGAGACAGACAGACACGGACAGATGGTCAGAGATCACCCATCCACTGGTTCACTTGCTAAATGCCTGCAGCAGCCGGGTCTGGGCATACTGAAGCCAAGAACCAGGAATACAGTCCAGGTCTTATATGTGAGTGCTTGAACCACCATCTACTGCCTCCCAGAGTGTATGTTACTATCGGGACGCTATGATAGGGAACAGAGCTGAGATGCACACCCAGTTGCTGTGACGTGGAATGTGGTTTTCCCAGATGTTGTCTCTACCACCCACTCCTGAAGTTAATTTTAAGTATGGTGTGAAGAAATGATTGAGTTACTTCTTATACATGACTATCCAATGGTTCTTACACAGTTTGTTTCCAGGCTGTCCTTTCCCATTACATTGTGCCTTTCTTAAAAATTTTAAGTTGTTAAAAATGGAATAAAAGTAGACATCAAGAAGTGGAACTTCAAAAATTGTACAAACACATGGAAGTCAGAAAACATTCACTTCTGTTGAATGAACAATGGGTTAAGAAAGAAAGAAAAAAGGAAATTTTTAATTTTTTGAAACGAATGAAAAGGAGAACACCAGATACCAAAAAATATTGGATACAGCAAAAACAGTACCAAGAGGGAAGTTTATAACAATAAAGGCCTGCATAAAAAGAGAAAAATTCCAAATCAGCAACCTAATGATGCAGCTCAAGGAACTAGAAAAGCAAGAGCAAATCAAACTGAAAATTAGTAAAAGGAAATCAATGGCAAAGATCAGGACAGAAGTAAATGAAATAGATCTCTCTCTCTCTCTCTCTCTCTCTCTCTGTGTATCTCTGTCTCTGTCTCACACACTAATTAATTAATTATGAAAAAATAAGTGGTCTGAACAGGTATTTCTCAAAAGAGGATATACAAGTGGCCCCTAGGTATATGAAAGAATTCTCAAGGGGCAAAGCAGCCTTCATTCGGGATTAATTTTCTCCACTAGAGGAGCGATACCCCATGAACACACTTATCTGACGCCCTGTGTATGCTGAGCTGTTTGTGCCCTGACTCTGTGTCATCACTGGCGGTTTCTAGTGGCTCTCATCTGGCGTTAGGCAGCTTCTTCCCCTGCCTGTGGTGATGAGTAGTCAGCGAAGACTTGAGATTCTGCAGACCCCTGGGGCTCTGTGTGAAACCCAGTCCTCGGCTCCCAACACTTGCCTCTCCGGCAGGCACTGCGAGTTCTGACTGCCCCGGCCGTCGCACATCCTTCCCTGCTGGGTTCTGTGTTGCCCCGGAAGCTGCAGGAAGTTCCCGTTCTCCTGCAGACCACTGTCCTGTGTTGGCGCTAGTCCAATATCTGAAAACTGCTGTTTGGTTTATTTTGTAAAATGGTTTTTTTGTTGCTTAGGATGGGAGGGTAAGTCTGACTCCTGCTGCTCCATCACCTTTGCCCTTGCTCATAGCCCAGGTGGGTCACTGGTACTTCCCCATTTATCCTGGGATGAGGCCAGGGAGGTATTAGTGCGTGTGTGTTTCTATGCATACAAGAGATCTTCAGAAATTTCATGGGAAATGCATGTTATGAAAAAACTATGCATGAATTTTAAAGTGTTTACAGCAAAATGAGCATGTTTTCATTCCATTTCCCATGAATTTTTTTAAGTACCTTCATATGTATATGTGTGCCATAAATATGCATGCCTGAATGTACATATGTGTGGGCACATGTTTGTATGTGTACCTGCAGGTATCTCTGCCTTTCCTTGAAAAGCACAGAGACTTCAGCCAGTCTGTACAGTGATTTGGCTATGGGCAGGTCATTCCTGCAGGTGCACACCAACCACATTCCTTTGGAGTAAAGAAAAAAAAAATGGGAGAAAAGGCTGCTGGGAGGGGCTTCAGCTGTGAATCCTTGAGAGCCCAGAGGTGGAACGCATAGCACATAGAACCCGTGTCCCCGTAGTGGCCAGGTGAGTGTGTCTTTTCAAGAATGAGTGGCAAGTAATGACCCGGTTCCCATGGGCAGCAGTGAGGAGGAAGAGTGTCAGTGCCACCACTAACAGAGATGTCTTAAAAATAGTTTTAGCAGTGAAATGTTCCCCGTGATCTCGCTGGGAGGACCACCAATCTGCATTGTTACTGTGATTGCTACTGATCATTTGTCAGGTCTGCTTCTGAGAAGTGCGTTTGTGGGAGAAAGGTTTCACGTCCCTGGATGGCTGTGGCTGTTTCTGTGCTGAAGTCCCCTGGGAAGCCAGTGAAAGGTGGCCCAGAGTGGCTGTCATGGTTAGTCCTGCTTCCATTTGCAGCACCAACCTGACTGGGCCTCCAGGGATGCATGCTGGTGCCAACAGAGTGGGCCCTGAGGCACTCTTGTGTGGTTTATCAGTATCAGCCAAGGAGTGAGGTGGGCAGAGGGCAGGGCTGCCGCAGGGCCTGGGAGTGAGGAGAGAGCTTGGGTGTGGAGGAGAGGCTCAACTCCTCACAGCATTTTGTGCTGTGGCTAGGACGAGGATTGTTGGCATCACCTGTTTACAGGTACCCTGGGACCTGCAGAGCCAGGAGGTGCCTCCACCTTCAGTCTCACCTTTTGACACCTGGCATCCTTGTGCTGACCTGGTCACTCTTGAGAAATTCATCTCTGTGCTTTCTCAGAGATTCAGCAGTGGACTGTACAACTGTTCAGTTGTACAGTCACAAATGGGCTGGGGAAGAGGATGCTCAATGCAAGGCTTGGCTAGTTGTGGCAGTAGAATTCCTGGTTTGGATGGAACATCTGGAAAGGGACTGCATCTCCCACACCCAAGCATGTGCCGCAGAGCTGGGTGGTCAGCAGCACGGAGACAGGACAAGGCCAGGCTCACGGACACTCTCCATAACGGGGCCAGGTGGGAGGATTGGTCTCGTCGTCATCCACGGCTCACGACCAGGAGCCAGCCATGACCTTATACTTTCCTGCCCACTGTAATGGGGGTATGGGTTGACCCCACAGGCCTGAGGCTCCTTTGTAATGCCTGGACTCTGGAAGCAGCCCCATGGAGCACCCAGGCTGGCATGTCCTTCCAGAATCCACTTCTCATTCACAGCCTCACTCAGGTCCAGCGTGTTCCTATGGGCTTTGGGGTGGACCAGGGGTAACATCTTCCTGGAGATGTCAGCAGGCCAGGTGGTAACCATGAGCTCTGGCCTCGGTGCCTTGCCCTGGCATGTCTGCCTGGCAGAAGCTTTGTGCTGGATTCTGGCAAGAATCCATTGGCTGGAAGAGATTGGCTAGGTTTTCTTGGACATCCCAGCCTTTACTTTTTAAAGGCATTGCTGTTTTCTTCTTTCTTACTTTGAATAGGTAAGATATGGGCATGATATAAATTTCAAATACACAGAAAGTAAAAACATAAAGAGTCTTCCTCCTTCTCTTGACCCACTCTGGCCTTTGGTGACAAGAAACTGGTGCCTCCGGCCCTGAGCCTGCTACCATCGGTCTCTGCTGTCACACAGACCCCAGCCAGGCCTTGGAGGGAATCCGTAGGCAGTGTCTTACCGCAGCCCCTGCGACCTGGTGAGCAGATTCTTCCTCTGCTGCCTGTGGCTGTGGGAAGAGAATCATAGAACTGGTCAGCTGAGGTTTATATTTAATGGTACCAGCATTTGGTGACGACATACGTACATGGTTGAACAAGTGTCTAAACTAAAAGAAACGGCCTCACGAGCTGAACGTGTCAGTTCATAGCCAGTATCGCAGACTCCTCTGTACAGCGTGCCTTTCCAAAGGTCTGCTCTGTGCATTAACACATTTGGATTGATGCAGACGAGGGATGGCAGGTGCCTCTCGGGTGGGAGCCTGAGGGTCCTGTGGTGCCACCGTGCTGACTCATTTCCTTGCCGATAAGAGAACAGAGGAGACATGAGCTTCAACGTCTTTACTGTCTGTAATTCCGAATTGTGCAAGACCTTTCCCTAAATAGCTTACAAGAGCAGCCCAGCTATGCCATTAAAGGAAATCCGATCTTGTGACCATGGAAGTGAAGATATGATTTTATTCAAACTGGCAAAGATTAACCCAGTCCCACTCTATTCTGGGCTTGAAGGCCCAGCTGCTGTCTTTGGGGACTTTGCGTCTTGCCTGGGGACTTGGGGCTGAGGATGGGGGAAGAAAGGAGCCAGGAGCACTGAGCCAGACCTGCATTTGGACTTGGGTCCCCAACTGCTGAGTGTCTGGGGCTGGGGGTTTCCCAGGGTGCAGGACTTCCTGTGTTAAAGCCAGCAAAGTCCTAGACACAGCAGGATGAATCTGTCACTATCAAAGTTGCCAAAAACCTCTTGTGCCCCAGTTTCTTCATATGAAAAATAGAGATAATGATGACCAACTGTCAGTGTCAGCAGTGAGAGCTGAGTGCAGTACACTGCAAGCCGTGTGGCACCTGGGGGACCGGTAGAGGAGGAACGAGGCTCCTCGGGGAGAGGACAAGGCCAGCATGAGCCAGGGAATTTGGGAAGGATACCTGGAGGCAAGTGTGCTCCAGAGGGCCCTTGAAGAACCCGCAGGACTCGGCCAGAGGTTGTACCAGGAGATCAGATCATCCTACACTACAGCTGAGGGATTGTGCAGACGTTTCGCTTTCTTTAAGCCACCTGTGTCGGCACGGTCTCGCTACTGATCTGTTGTGGTTTGCAAGCCCCTCCGTCCCCGACCTCCTACTTGTCCCCACTTCTCCTTGGGATTCACTTTTGTTATGCCACAGCCCGAGCCCTCCCTCCCCAAAACACCTGCTCATTAACTGGCCTCCCAGCCCTGCCCCTGAGAGGAGTCCAGTGAGCCAGGATTAGGGAAGCGTAAGCTCAGAGAGGTTCTGTGACTTGCCAAGACTCACCCAGCAGATCAATTCTGAGTCCAGAAACAGGAACCAGATGTCTGCACCTTACTCCGTGCTTGCTTTGGACGGTGGAGCGTGGGGCCCGAAGAGGCCCCAACAGACATGCCGAGCTCCTCTGGGAGAGCCCAAGGATTCCAAAGCCCTCCTGTAATTCATGTCACGAGTTGCTCTGAAATGTGTCTTAGGGGAGAACATTTTCATAAAAATTCAGCTTTCTGCATACCTCCTGGGTTGGGAGATTTTACGCACCCAGTGTGTTTCTGACCATCCTTTCAGAAAGGATGCCTCGACGAGTGAAGTTCCTGAATTAAGGCTTTGGCACGGGCAGGATCAAGTATCAAGTAATGGGCTTTCCGTTTCCCGTCACACATTCAGCGCTTCTCAGTGAAGCCAGAATTGGCAAGAGTCAAGCTGGTTATTAAAGCAGAACCTGGAAAAGGCAATTAAGCGCTCCCAGGGTTAGAAGGTCGGATCCAGGGGAAACAGGACTCGTAAATCTGCCTCGCAGCTCCCTGTTACGGGGAGGGAGCGACGCAGAGGGCTCGTGTCTGCTGCCTTGCCCAGAGGCCTTCTGCAGGCGCTGTCCTCGGGCAGCTGGGGTGGGCAGCAGCAAGCCAGGGGCTCCCTGGAAGCTTTCAGAGGTGCAAGGCACTGCCTGGGCACAGACCGTCCCAGTTTGCCCAGGACTGAAGCACACAAGACTTCTGATGGCAAAACGAGAGAAGTTCCAGGCAGACCAGGGCACAGTGGTTACTTGTTAGACAACCATGATCTTTTTGCAAGAGTTCTTATTTGCTTCCCAGTTTTCTAAAATGTACTCATAAGCATGAATCTCAAAATTTTTTTTGCACCAAGATAAACTTCTCTTTTAATTCCATTTTCTACCAACTTTTGGAATTACCCTCATATCAAACCAAAGGTGTTGGTTTTAGACTTCATGCCCATATGTTTACAGCTTTGAAATGGGGATCACTGTCTTCCCACCACTGGGAGTTGCGTGGGGATCATGTGAGATCAGGTGTGTGAGGCTGGCATGGGATACAGACTCAGTCAAGGCTGCTGACCAGCCAAGAAGTCCGCTTCTGGCTGCCGCTTGCTCAGTGCGGCTGGTGTAGGAGGCTCTTCCGTCCTGCCCTGCAGCAGCCCACAGGGCTCAGAGCAGCCCAGAGCCAAGCCTGAGTTTTCTTGCAACTGTGCTGGCCAAAGTGGCAAAGCTTTGGAAGACAGTGGACAGTAGCTCATGGTGGTTCTTCGTCTGGCCCTGGGCTGCCTTCTGGAGTAGCCAGCTTGGAGGGCTGGTGTTTCCCAGTGAGCCAGACTCAGTGGTTTCTGAGTTTTCTAATGAAGCCTGATAGTCTGCACCATGTAAGAGGAAAAATAGACAAATGAGATGCATTATTAATCTGTTCAGGAGGCTTTCGTGGTGTTCACACATTGTGTCCGATGTCCTGTGTTGTCAGGAAGTGTCCCGTACGCAGGAACAGCGACAGGGCACGACCAGAAGCGCCCCCGGTGGAGCCCACGGGAGCCAGCCCTCTCCACCCTTCCTCCCCTCAGAAGAAGCTGCATAGCTGAGGATCTCACACACATTTCCATGCGACGCAGTCATCCTTGGAGACGCTGTCACTGCTGGTCATCTGGCAATTAAGTCAGAATGTGGCTGCTCATTAAGCCTGCCACTCAGCCAGCAGAGGCAGAGATGTTTTCCGGCAGAGCTGGATCTGCTCCGGCCTGTCTTTGGCCGGCGCTGAGGGTGGAAGGCCGGTGGGAATGCAAGGCCCCAGGAGTGAAGTTGCTCTGAACACGGCAGGTCTTCCTCCTCCGGAGTTGGGCCTCCACGCTCACTGCGCTCAGACTAAAAGCTCAGACCACATCTCCTTGGATTTCAGAAGTGTATTTGGCGTGCATTTGCATTGGCTCCTTCATTCAGCCTTCTTTTCCCTTGTGAATTTGATCATTTTAAATGCTCCTGGTTTTTAAAAATGTGGTATTTTCTTTGAAAGTATAGTTCATTAAAACTCCTGCTGCTTAGCTTGGGCCGTTAGCAGTGATCCAAGAGCTACAGAGTCTGCTGTGGACCGTGCCTGTCCAAGAGCATTCTGGTTTCAAACCTGTCTTCGTTGGCCTAGAAGTAGGGCATTGTGGACTGGAGCAGGGAGAGGCCCAGGCCTGAGGAAGTGCTGAGAAGCGGCCCTTGGTAGGAGCTGTCCTGTGAGCCCACCTGAAGTGGCTGCTGGCGGTGCTGGCACCTGTTCTGCTCGAGACTCAGTAGCGTTTGAGGGGCTCTGCCAAGAGGAAGAGGCACTGGTGTGCCGGCTCCCCTTGTGATGTCACCAGACTTGCCAGCTTGAGAGGACTGGCAGATACAGGACACGTGTGCCCCTACCACCCTCTCCTGTGCTCAGGGCAGGCATCACTAACCCAGCTCTCCCCTCTTTCCTCTTTTCTGGAGAGGCAGACATGGCCCAAAGCCCTGTTAGCATCGCACTCAAAGCAGCCACTACCGGTTGAATGGAATCGAGGCTAAAGTCAAGCTGCCGTACCCCTCCGATCTAGCATCCTGTCTGCGCCTCTGCCACGGGAGAGAGAAGCCCTGAGGGGAGAACAGGCAAGTTCATTGACAGCCTGGGCGGGGCTGCAGCGTCCAGCAGCGGCCCCTCAGATCCTTTGTACTGCAGGTGTCCGGGTTGGCGCGATGGAACATTCCAGTAGCGGTGGAGATGCACTTGAAAGGCGGGAGAGCTCTAGGCCTCCACCTTGGCGGCCCTGGCGGGGACGTCTGTCCTGGGATGGGGCGCCTCACAGGAAGCCCGGCAGCCGCGACTGAGGGTAGGGACAGGGGCCTGCCGGGGCGGGGGGGGGGGGGGGGGGCAGGGGCAGACTTTGAAGAAGACTCCGGTCTCCAGGGCGGCCTGGCGCGCCGTGTTCTGCTTTTTATTGATCCTCCGAGGACACAGATGTGTCCGGCCCACCCAGACTTCTGCCGGCTCCCGGGGGCGGGGAGCCTGGTCCTAGCCATGGGACGCACGGAGGTGAGAGGGGCTGCCTGCAGGAGGACACGGCTTGGACACCTGGCATGTGAAAGGGCTCCGGGAAATCACTGCAAATCATGTTGACAACAAGAGCCCTGCAGGCTCCTGTTGCCCGGCTCAGACGTTCAGCTCTCAGCCGTCCACAACCCACTCTGGGCCTCCCGGGTCTCCCAAGCCACTTGGTGTGAGATCCAGAGACCCTGCTGAGCTGGCATTTGCGAGACCAGTCCCCTGCCACCCCTCCTCACGGCCTCTACCACCCACCTCTTCCTGCCCCTCTAAAGCACTGAGCCTGCTGGGGCCTGCGGGCTGTTCCACCAGTGGGCCTCTTCCCTGGATTTGGGAGGCTGGCTGCTCTTGTCCTCGGCCTGTCACTTCCAAGGTCCCCTCCACAGAGAATTCCTCCCTGCCCACCCAGTGCCCTCCTGCAGTCCCCACCATCAGATCCACCTGCCCCGCCTTTCTCTCAGCCATCTCATGCTGTTGGTGATCGCTCTCTTCTTGCTTCTTGTCAGTCTCCCCGACAAGAAGGTAAAATCCAGGAGAGCATGACCTGGTGCTGGGCACGGGGCATGTTCTTGGTTCACATTTGAAGGAGCCTTTGCAGGACCCCCTGTGTTTTCCCAGCAGGCGTGGTCGGGTGGCCAGCCATTGAGGGCACAACTCCAGCCTGCCTGAATCTGGTAGCCAGAGTGACACAGGCAAGGGCCTGGCTGGCCCTCCTCCCTCCGGCCACCAGTGGACACAGAGAGGGCCGGGCCCCCCACCTCGGGCAGCTGTGCTGGCACCTTCCCCTCACCGCCCGCACTGGAGGCGGCTGTGCTTCCTCTTTGACCCCTGCCAGAGGACACAGGCTCCCGGGCGTCTCTCCTCTGATGTTGGCCACATGTTTTTGCTCCTGCCCTTAGCAGCTCCCCAGGATATGGGCTCTTGGGTTCAGAAGTAAACAAATTCCTAGCAGCTCTGGAAGGGAGGGAGGTTGGCTCTTAGTCACTTGGCAAGAGAGAAAATGCTGGCGTCCCGTGGAGAGCAGGCCCCTGTGTAGCCAAGATGGAGGAAGATGCAGTTCTGCAGGCTCTAGCCTCCACCACGGCATCCAGCAAGTGCTGGGCAGGGCTGCATGGACGAGCACACTGAGGCCTTTGGCAGGTGGCCGCTCTGAGCCTCAGGTCTTAGCACCCAGACAGGCAGAGCAGTAGCTGCTAAGCCTCGGGGCAACTGAATATGAGAGTACAGCACACAATGGGAAGTGCCAGGCACGGTCTCAGTCTGGGAGATCTGGGTTTGCCAGGGAGTGTTAGCAGAGTGTGCTGTGGCAAGGCCTCCAGACTGAGCTGGCTCACAAGGGCAGGGGATGAACTAGAGAGGGACAGGCAGAGCCCTCCCCTCAGCTTTCAGCTGAGGACCAGACGGGGGCCTTGATACCAAGCTTGGTGGAACTGTCCGGAAGCATGGGGCTCTGAATGAGAGGGGTCTGAGTTTTGCTGTCTTGGGTCCCCTGGGCCAGATGCCAGCAGGTGTACGGGAAGAGAGGGATGCTAGCCAGTGAGTTCCAGGGATGCTCAATGAAGGCTGAGCGTGGGAATGATTGAATCTAGAATCCTGGTGTCCCCCCCAGCACCCCTTCCCCCAATCCTTGCTGGGCCTATCACTCCCACCCCATTCAAGTTCCTGCACAGGGCTGCCCATGATCACTGGACACAGGTTTTGACACTGGAGCAAACCCATCTGGGAAGTCTGCTGACTGGTCCCACCACCCCCTGGGGCTCTGTTCATTCATCCCTGTGTCCCTATGAGGGGTGTCCAGGTATACTCGGGGCTAACTTGGGCCTTCCTTCCAGGGAGCAGCTCTACTTACACTCCCACCTCCCACCAGTCGCTGAGCCATGGCTGGGGCTGGGGCCGCCACCTGGGACAAGGGGCCAAGGCCTGGACAATTAGAACGTCAGCCCCAGTGTTGACCTCAGACAGCAAAGAGAGGTAAGAGAAGGACAGTTGGAAGCCTTCTTGAAGCAATTTCTTTATAGGAGAAGGGGGAGAATGCTTCAGTGTGTAAAATGCTCTATTTAAATTTCTTGTCTGTAGCATATACCCTCCCCTATAATTATGACTTGGGAAAAAAAGGATAATTATGAAAATTTCTGGGCTCATTAAAGACACACAATTGACATCTAAAATTATTTGAGTTAGAAATGAGGCTGGAATGAGTCTTCTAAGAGACCCAGAGGGAAGCAGCTCGGCTTTCTGGAACTCTGAGTCTGGGAGGAGGCCACGGGTCAGCTCAGGTAACGCTTTGTGTCCAGGAGCACGGCGACACAGAGGTGTTGGCTCCATGTGGCCCAGCCGCCCCGGGGTTGCCTGACTTGGTGGGTGGTGATTTTCTGGGTTCCCCACGCAAGGCATCCACTGTTTGGTGAGTTGGGGGCGCCGGCTACTCAGGAGACTGAGGGAGCAGTCCGACCTCTCAGCCCTGGTAAGGTATTTAGCGGCTCTGGAGCCAGGCCGCCTGGACTCAGATCCCCGGGCCACGGTGCGCTAGCTTTGTATTTTTATTTGTATTTTTATTGTATTTGTATTTTTATGTTCATTCTAATTTATTTATTATTTTTGTAATTTGTTTGAAAGGCAGAGAGACAGAGACCTTCCAGCCATTGGTTAATTCCCCGAATGGCCATGACTGGGCCAGGCTGGGTGCCAGGAACTCAGTCTGGACCCGCCATATGGGTGGCAGGGCCCCAGGTGCTCGAGCTGTCATCTCCTGCCTCCCAGAGTGTGCGTTAGCAGGAAGCTGGAATCAGACATGGAGTCAGGACTCGAATGGAACGCCCGCATTGCCTCTTAAAGGCAGGGCTACAGCTGTTTGCTCCTAAGACCATGACCTTTCTGGGCCTCCTCCTGGCCTCCTGAGGACCCCAAGCCCTCATGCCCCTCCCTGACCCCAACCCAGGATTTCCTGTCACTTTGCCCTGAACCTGTTGCCCCAAGTGTCCTAGTGGTGGTAAGCTATGGCAGGGGCTCAGCTGCCTGCTGTAGCTGAACCTCGCTCTTCTTAGGACTGTGGGCCTCTGGGAATGCCTACGTCGTGCCATGCCCCGAGTTGTCAGATCAAGTGAGACGCGGGCAGGCTTCACCTGCCACCCTCAGCGCGTGCCCTGGAGCTCCTCCTGAGCCCTGAGCTGGGTCTGTGGGGGTTGCTGGGGCTGCTGGAAGGGCCACTGTGGTTGTCTGAGTTTGTATGCAGGAGCCCAGTGGCCCATGGTGGGCACAGGGAAGCCAGCTTCAGTTCTTTCTGACTGAGATTGTCAAGCTGGCCATCTGTGGCCTGTGGTCAGGAAGGGCCACCCTGGGGATGCGTCAAACCATGAGTGGAACACAGCCTTTTCTGGGAACTGGTGGTAGCTCTTTGGCCTGAGGCTTAAGTTCAGATCCTGCAAATAACCTGAGTGTTTCCGGTTTTAAACAACCACTATAGTTAGAAAACAGAGGGAGAGAGTAATAATTTGAGATGGATCATTAGTATAAATGCAAAACCTGGAATCAAAAAGGTTCCAGAAAAAAAGTCCACGTCCTCACAGTTGTGTGCTAAGTGAGGATTTCTTAGGTTGCACAAGGCATGAACCATGAAGGAAAGAATAATGAATTGGTGGCCAAGGTCCACGTTTCTGTTTTTCATCATCAAAAGACACCATTAAAAAAATGAATGAGTAAACCACAGATGGAAAAATATTTGAAATACGCATATCTGATAAAGGAATTGTGTCCAGAACCCATAAAGACTTTTATAGGTCAAAGTAAAAGGACAAACAAGCCAAGTTTCAGAGTGAGACCAGAGATCTCATAAAGGAAGATATGTGAATGGCCAGCAGCTCGTGAAAAGACACTCAGCGCCCTTAGTCATCACAAGGAAACGCAAATGCAAACCACCTTGAAACGTCACTTCACACTCACTGGAAAGGCATCGGTAAAAGGACTGGTAATGCCAAGTGCCAGCGAGGGCATGGAGCAATTGGAACAGCATCTCACTGATGAGAATGGGAAAAAGAAAACGGTTTGGCAGTGTCTTCCCAGCATAGATGTATAGATGCGGTAATATGACCCAGGGGTTCCACTCCTTGTCATTTACCAAAAAGAAAGGAAAACATGTTCACACAGAGATTTACAGTGAACTCACTTAAAATAATAGTCAAAAATAGGGAAGACACCAAATGTTCACTGACAGAAGAAGAGAGTGTTTTCCCCCAGTGGTATATTTTTATACAACAGAATAGTAGCCACCAATGAAAAAGAACCAACTGTTAATACTTGCAACAACCTGCATGAACTTCAGAAACACTATACTGAGCCAAAGAGCCAGATGGAGAAGGAGGCTGCGGACGTACTCAGGCCCCATTGGCATGAAGCTCTGGGTTGGGCACAGCCATGGCGGTACAGGGAGGTGGAGCTTGAGTGGAAAGGGCACAAGGGAACTTTCCAGGGTTGGAAATGTGTAACAGCTAACTAAGGGGGATTCAAAAAGCTTGTAGAAAAATGGGATGAAAAAATAAGTTTACTTTTTCACATAAAATTTGTAGATCCAGGCATACAGAAAGTTCATTAAGAATGAGCATTACAGGGCTGGCGCCGTGGCTCACTTGGTTAATCCTCCGCCTGCACTGCCAGCCTCTCATATGGGCACCGGGTTCTAGTCCCGGTTGCTCCTCTTCCAGTCCAGCTCTCTGTTGTGGCCCGGGAAGGCAGTCAAGGATGGCCCAGGTGCTTGGGCGCCTGCACCTGCATCAGAGACCAGGAAGAAGCACCTGACTCCTGGCTTCAGGTCGGCGTAGCTCTGGCCGTGGTGGCCATTTGGGGGGTGAACCAACAGAAGGAGGACCTTTGTCTCTGTCTCTCTCTCTCTCTTTCTCTAACTCTGTCAAATAAAAAAAAAGAATGAACATTATGAAAATACTAGGCATAGTTTTCTGCACCAAAATCTGTTTCTTCTAATTCCACTTTCCACAAGCTTTTTAAAGTACCTGTGCATCTTGTCCTGGATGATGGCTACACAAGTCCATACAAGTATCAGAGCTCATCGACTGGAACACTGAAAGTCTGTGTGTTTATTTGATGAATTTTTTTTTTTTTTTTTTGGACAGGCAGAGTGGACAGTGAGAGACAGAGAGAAAGGTCTTCCTTTTGCCGTTGGTTCACCCTCCAATGGCCGCTGCGGCCGGCGCGCTGCGGCCGGCGCACTGCGGCCGGCACACTGCGCTAATCTGATGGCAGGAGCCAGGTACTTATCCTGGTCTCCCATGGGGTGCAGGGCCCAAGCACTTGGGCCATCCTCCACTGCACTCCCGGGCCACAGCAGAGAGCTGGCCTGGAAGAGGGGCAACCGGGCCAGAATCCGGCGCCCCGACCGGGAGTAGAACCCAGTGTGCTGGCGCCGCAAGGTGGAGGATTAGCCTAGTGAGCCACGGCGCCGGCCTATTTGATGAATTTTATAGCACACTCTAGAAACCAATGTCAGTAGTCGACTGTTATGGAAAATGTACTCTGTGCAGCGTGCAGCGGTTGTGTCTCCATGGTCTCGGCAGGGTTCACGTCCCTGTAACAAGTAGGGCTCCACCTTATCACACTCCCTTTTCCTTTGAGGAAGAGATGGCATGGGGCTGCAAAGCCACTGAACTGTGGACAGGGAGACTGGCGCCGTGGCCTGAGCCCTACACCGCTTGCTCGCTCTCTGGTTCCCACACTGTGGCCTCTGTGTCCTTGCCAGTGTTTAACACTCAGCCTGGCAGGCACTTAGGAAGTGCTGTTGGACTGAGAATGTGAGTTCTAGTCCTTGCCAGATCTCCCATGTATGTGTTGCACGTCCAACACTGCTGGCTGAGCAACCATGATGAAGGCGGGGCCCTGCCTCAGGAGCCCCCCAGCCTGGAGAGGCCCCCCATGAAGGTCTGCTCACCCTGCTGTTCCTCCCTGACTCTTCCCCAGGCCAAATTAACTTTGATCGTCCGTGGCCTCCGGCCCTGCCTTGATTGTAGAGGGGCCCCGTTGGAAACTCCTCTTGGTGGTCCAGGCGCCCTCTTTTCTTCACAGGTGCAGGTTCTGGGAGCAGGTCAAAGCACAGGCGCTCTGTCAGAGGCCTTCCTGAAGTCCCTGCGGGCTCCAGGTGCATGCCTGGGCCTCTGTGTGGCTCCCCATACCCAAGGCTCTGGGGAGTGCACCTGCTGGCAGTGCACAGTGCGTGCCACTTGTGCACGTGCGCTGAGGGCCTGCGGGCCAAGCCTGCCCCTGATTCCAGCTTCCAAGGAAGGGTGTGCTGCAGGTTGGGGCACCACAGCCCTGATAACTCATGGGACCCCTGGGGCCTTGGGAGCGCGCTCTCCTGCCTTGGACTCAGGAGGCAGTGCTGCTGGGCCCTGTCCAGCCCGCAGGCCTGGCAAGGGCTCATCCTGCGCTGCCTTGTGCACAGTCACCTGGGGACCCACAGCTCTCCCCATCCCGAGTCCCAGCAGCTCCAGCTGCAACGGGCAGGGCCGAGCCCCCCAGTGCCCTTCCTTGCTCTCCCTGTGCCTGCTCCAGGCACCGTGGATGCTAAAGGTTCAACCTTCACATCCTGGGGTTTATTTTTCTAACAGTCACTTCTACCCTGTTGTCACACACCACGGTGCCAGAGGTAACCGGGCAGCCTGAGGGAGGGGCTTGGTGCCATGCTGGAGCAGAATTTGGGGTCATACCTTCCCGGACATGCACATCTTGAACACTGAATTGCTATTACAAAACTCTTCATCATTGATTTCCCATGAAGGGACACAGCAAGGGACTCTCACTCCTGCTTGGAGCTGAGCAAAGAGGCTATAAAACTCCTGGGAGCTTGGTGGTGTGAGACCTGACAGGCAGGCAGACAGATGGACAGCCGCTCTTCACACAGCCCGGATCCAGGCGGTCCTTGTGGCTGGCTTGAGAGCACCCAAGACGTGGCCCTGCAAGATCAAGAG